AAAACTATGTAGTTCTATCATAAGGTCGGATTACAGTTTCTTGAGTGAAGATAAAATAGGGTAGGAAGGCAAGAGAAAGCTTGAAATATTTAAAAAATGAACAGAGGAGAGGCAGGAGATAGGTAGCAGGTGATGGCTAAAATGAAGGATAAAAGCAAAAGGCTAACTAAAAGTAATAAGAAAATTAAAGAGAGGAAGGAAAATTTGTTTATTAGTGGGGATAGAAAAAAAAACATCTAGGTTGGTTCCAAAGGGACATTAAGAGGGACAAAAACAAAGGTACAAACAAAAATAACATGAAAGCACCCAAACCCACACATAATTTTACATCCCCTAAGACAAACCAAGGCTAAATAACACACAGGTGAAAAAAAGAAAGCAATTAATATTATATGGATATATATGAATGTATACATATTCACATAATTTACATGTATATATTTTTAACATATTTATGCACTGAGAACACACAAACTTGCATAGTAAAAAAATATAATGATAAAATTTGAAAGTAATTAAAAATTAAAACAAAAAACTAAAAAATGGGAGAATTATAAGAAAAAAAGAAAAATTCTTAATGAGAAATAAAGGACTTGTTTCTGAAGTGGTCAAAACTGTTGGTAAAGATGGATTTTAATTCTTAAATTTATTTTTGGCCCTGTAATCCTTCATGAACTGGGGGTTGTTAAGTCTAATATATTTGTGTTCCTCACCTAGCTGTCAGTCATTGTAGCTAGGACCAAAGCTGGCTGTAGTAGACATCAGCATTTCATCTTCCAGTATAGGGTGGATAGACAGAGGTGTATCAGCAAATTGGGTATTTCCATAGCATGAGCAAAGTAGAGTTCTAAATTGTAAGTTCCAATAGTTGGATTTTAGTCTTGGCTAACATTTGGGACTCTGTTGGTATTTGAGTATTTGAGATTTGATCCACACCCGCTGTTGCTGGGGATGTTCCAATTTCCACTGAACTTTTGGGTCTCAGATGCCTTCCATAAATTCCACTTTTTAGGTGCAGGTCTAAACCTACACAGGTTTTGCATTCACTACTATGGATGTAAATTAACTAGTACCATCCCTGGAATTCAGATACTCCTCTCTAGCCATTATTATCATTTTCCCAATAGCTCTTAAGGTATAACAGCTACAAAGGCGCTCTCTCTCTCTCTCTCTCTCTCTCTGTGTGTGTGTATGTGTGTGTGTGTGTGTGTGTGTGTGTGTATCTGGAGCCTGGATGCCCTAGACACAAACCTCTCTGTGCCTATTTCAGTCACACTAGTCCATCACACTCTGGGCCCCATAATAGGTGACTGCTAGATCAGTGGAAAACTTCGTTTATTAGTTCCCCATCTTTTTCCTCTGCTTACAGAGGAGCAACACTTATAAATAGTTCCCACTTCAATGACCCTGGTTCTAGCCAAACAATTTCTACCCATAGGCTGAGTGTTTTTGGTTGCTTTTCATTTAACAACTTCCACCACCAACTCTGGGTCCATTAAGATCACTCTCTCTTTATTCCACAGATTCCCCTCAATGCAATCTTTTTTTCTGCCATGATTCCCTTCTGTTCTCATTTGTATTTCAATCTCTATCTCTGCCTGAACTCTCCTCTCCTCAGCTGCCATGACTGCAATCACAGCTGCCACCAGCCAAACTGGCATGTCTCTAACATATTATTTCTTATATTATGTTCGATACATCCAACTTTCTGCATCTCTGTTTTCTTTTATCATCCAGTATTAAATTTCAGTGAGTTCCCTCAGTTTTCTACCTTGTCTAACCTTTTAAACCTGGTGCTAAGAAATTCTGGGAAATGTACCCTACCTCAAAACCACTTATCTTCTCCCTCAGCAGAACTTTTTTATTATCATACAACTGAAACTCTTTCCTATCAAACAACTTCTTATTTTCGTCTTCTCTAATCCCTGCCAAAAAAAAAAAAAATATGTTCTGTTTCTAATGAATTTGACTGGTTTAGGCTGCTTCCCCTCCTGTATGTAGGATTATACAGTATTTGTCTATTTGTGATGGATTATTTAACTTTGCTTACGCTTTATATTTCACAAGGTTCATCCATGTTGTAGCATATGTCAAATTACCTTTTCTTAAAATTTGTTCTAATCAGTTATACTTGACAGCATGATGCTCTTCTATTCATTGTACAGAAATGGAGCACAATTTTTCATTTCTCTGGTTGTATATGAAATAGGGTAACAACATTTATGCAATCATACATGAACCTAGGGTAATGATGTCTGTCTCATTCCACCATTTTTCCTACCCCCATACCCCTCTCCATCTCTCCCTCCCCTTTGCCCAATCCAAAGTTCCTCCATTCATCCCATGCCCCCCCCCTACTTTTTGGATTAGCATCTGCTTATCAGAGAAAACATTTGGCCTTTGGTTTTTTGGGATTGGCTTACTGTGCTTGATATTCTCCAACTCCATCATTAACCTGAAAATGCCATTATTTTATTCTCACTTAATGCTGAGTAATAGTCCATTGTGGGTGTATCATTATATGTATATATATCACAGTTTCTTTGTCCATTTATCTATTGAAGGGCATCTAGACCGCTTCCACAGTTTGTCTATTGTGAATTGTGCTACTATAAACATTGATGTGGCTGAGTCTGTGTAGTATGCTATTTTTAAGTCATTTGGGTATAGACCAAGGAGTGAGATAGCTGGGTCAAATAGTGGTTTTATTTCAAGTTTTTTAAGGACTCTCCATCCTACTTTCCAAATCAGTTGCACCAATTTGCAGTCCCACCAGCAATGTATGTATGAGTGCCTTTCCCCCGACATCCTTGCCAACACTTATTGTTACTTGTATAACTGCCATTCTGACTAAAGTGAGATGAAATCTTAGAGTAGTTTTTGCTAAGAGCCAAGTATATGATGCATGGCATTTTTGGTTGAAAGGTGACACCAGCTAGCCATTGAGATGATATGATTATGTTAAGATTTGCATTCATATGGATATTGGACTCCTGCTGTTCACCTCGGCTTGCTACGGGACTCCTGGAGAGTTCCCATTGGTTGGGGAAGTACAGTAGGAGGGAGTTCCGGGGGAGGAGCTCTCTCTGGTGGTTCCGGGAGGAGGCCGCTTGGGTGGATAGAAAAATCTTCCCGGGCTCCTACTGGACATTGGCAGCAGTTTCAAAAAATAAAGTTTATTCCTGCTTGAGTGGCTCGCAGCCAGACTGCGGCAAGTTTTGATTTGCATTTCTCTAATTTCAAAATCAACTTTTTCAATGCTGAATAATATTTCATTATGTGTGTGTGTCACACTTTATGTATCCATTCATCTGTATGTAAACACTGGTGTTGCTTCCACATCTTGGTTATTGTCAATAATGCTGCTATAGAAACAAGTTTGGAGATCAATTTCTTAATCCAGTCAACTTGAGCCTCAGTTTATACCCAAAGTACTTAAAATCAGCATACTACAGTGACACAGCCACATCAATGTTTATAGCAGCTCTGTTCACAATAGCTAAACTATGGAACCAACTCAGATGCCCTTCAACAGATGAATGGATAAAGAAAATATGGTGCATATACACAATGGACTATTACTCAGCCTTAAAGAATGAAATCATGGCCTTTGCAGGTCAATGGATGGAGCTGGAAATACCATGCTAAATGAAATGAACCAACCCCAAAAAGTCAAAGGCAAAATGTTTCCTCTGATAAGTGGATGGTGATCCATAATGGGGTCGGGGATGAAGGGACTTTGGATTGTACAAAGGGGAGTGAAGGGAAAGGACGAGGTATGGAGATGGGAAGGACAGTGAAATGAGACAGACATATAGGGTATATACATGTAGGATACATTCTCGATGTGACTCTGCACCATGTTCAGCCAGAGGAAGGAGAAGTTGTGCTCCATTTGTGTACAAAGTGTCAAAATGCATTCTACTGTCTTCTATAACTAATTAGAACAATTTGCAAATAAAAAAAGAAATCCCAAGAGAATGGTAACGCATTATCTACGTGTGTCTATGAGGGCATTTCCAGAATACATTTTAATGTTAGTCAGTGGAGTGAGTTGGGAAGATCTGCTTTCATGTTTAGCAGGCACTGTTCAATTAGCTATAATCCAGGCTAGAACAAAAAACAGGAAAAGTGAATTATTTCTCTCACTCTCCTGGAGTTGAGACCTCGTATTTATCTTCACATTAGGCATCAGGACTGCAGGCTTCCCAGACTGTGGACTCCAGAATTTAAGCCAGGGACCACTGACTCTCAGTCCTCCAGCCTTGGATAAGAGTTACAGCATTGGCTTCCCTTTTTCTGAGGTTTTTAGGCTTTAACTGAGCAATTCTACCATTATCCCATGTTCTCCAGCTTGCAGTTGGCCTAGTGTGGGGTTTCTCAGCCTCCATAACTGTATTGCAAATTCCCCTAATGAATGCCCTCACCTCTCTCTCCCCCACATCACATATTGTACCTGTCTCTCCAGAAAGACATGACTAATATGATGAGTATGAAAATATATCTTTGAGAACTTGATTTCCAAAGTATAGATACCATGAAGTAAAATAGCTAAATCGTATTTTAATTGTATTTTGATTTTTTAAGGAAACTTCCTACTTTTTTCATAGAGATATCATTTCACATTTCCATCAAGGTACTGGGGATAGAATTAGAACAAGATATATTCCATGCTTTTATAATCATGTCAAAATGGATTCTACTGTCGTGTATAACTAAAATGAACCAATATATTTTTTAAAGAACGCACTAGGAGTTACAATACCCCCACATTCTTATCAATACTCGTTATCTTTGGAATTTTTAAATGACACTTATTCTAATGGGTATAAAGCAGTATATCCTTGGGGTTCTGATTTGCATTAACCTAATGATTAGTAACTTGAGCATCTTTTCATATAATTACTGACCATTTATATATCTTCTTCAGAAAAAAAATGTATGTTCAACACCCTTGTACATTTTTAGTTGGGTTATCTGTTGTTGTTGTTGTTGTTGAATTGTAGGTGGTCATTATATTCTGGATATTAACTATTATTAGATACGTGATTTGAAAATATTTTGTCCCTTTGTCAGTTATGCTCTTTGATGCCCAGATGTTTTTAAGTTTAATGTGGTCCTGTTTGTATAGTTTTACTTTTATTGTATATCTCAGAAAATCAATTTATTCTTTTCATATGCACAGCTAGTTTTCCCAGAACCACTCATTAAATAGACTGTCCTTTCTCTATTGTATTGTCATGACACCCTTTTTACCTCCTACCTTTCTTTCTAGCCTCAGTCTTCATCTATTAAAAATTCACTGTCAGAAAAAAACTAGCAGAACATTGAAGTAAGAGTTGTATTTAGAATTGCAGAAGCCTGGGTCACATATTGAACCCACATTGGCTATGTAAACTTGAATAAGTTACTTAAACACACTGGACCTTTAGTTTCATCATGATTAAGCAAGGAATATAACAAAACATGAATATAGAAAACTAACTCAATACAATTTTAGTATCAATGACAATTTACTCTACACAAGTTTTCCTATCTTAAGCAAATAATGGTGATTAGTATTGAAAAAAAAGATTACTCCATCAAACCAAAAAGATTATTAAGATAGATACCTGATGTGTGATGGGTGACATCAGATAGAGCACTAATCTCTAGGGTATATAAAGAACTCAAAAAACTAAACACCAAAAAACAAATAACCCATCAATAATTGGGCCAAGGAACTGAACAGACACATTTCAGAAGAGGATATACAATCAATCAACAAATATATGAAAAAATGTTCATCATCTCTAGCATATAGAGAAAAGCAAATCAAAACTACTCTAAGATTTCATCTCATTTCTATCAGAATGGTAGCTATTAGGAAGATAAACAAAAATAACTGTTGGCAAGAATGTGGGATGGGAAGGTACACTCATACATTGCTGATGGGACTACAAATTAGTGCAGCCGATATGAAAAACAGTGTGGAGATTCCTTAGAAAACTGGGAATGGAACCACCATTTGACCCAACTATCCCTCTCCTCAGTCTATACCCAAAGGACTTAAAAACAGCATACTACAGGAACACAGCCACATCAATGTTTATAGCAGAACAATTCACAATAGCTAAAATGTGGAACCAACCTTGATGCCCTTCAGTAGATGAATGGATAAAAAATATGTGGCCTATATACACAATGGAATATTACTCAGCAATAAAAGAAAATAAAATCATAGCATTTGCAGGGAAATGAATGGCATTAGAGAAGATAATGCTAAGTGAAGTTAGCCAATCCCCCCCCAAAAAAGCCAAATGTTTTATCTGATATAAGGAGGCTGATTCATAGTGGGGTAGGGAGGGGGAGCATAGGAGAAATAGACAAACTCCAAACTCGAGATAGGGCAGAGAGGTGGTAGGTGAAGGGAGGAGGCAGGAGGTTAGAAATGATGGTGGAATATGATGAACATCATTATCCAAAGTACAAGCATGAAGACACAAATTTATGTGAATATACTTTATATACAACCAGAGATATGAAAAATGTGCTCTATATTCTAATATGAATTGTAATGCATTCCACTGTCATTTATAAAAAATCAATAGAAAAGAATGATACTTGCACTTTTAGCATGACACTATTCTTTAAGTACATGAAATAAAATGATAATGACTAAAATATGATACTGAAATAAAGAAACATAAACATGCAAAAGTGGAATAGAAGATCTCAAATAAGCTTCCACATGTGTTAAAATGATGAACTAGCACTTTGCTTCAATTTATGTCCTATGTTAAATTTCTTTGAGAGCAATATTTTATATATATTTTTCTTCACTCTGCCAACATATAATATGTGATTATAATTCATTTTAAATTCATAATTTGCATACTCATTTCTTCTTTATTCTCTTTGACCTTACATGGGAAATTTCTTCTCCATGACTCCAGTAGCATCACTGAGACTCTTTCTGAAGCTGGCAAGAAGTTGCTTTCTCCTATTATTCAAGAATAATATGGTTGCTTATTTCTTCAATAGGTAAATGACACCCATGTCTGAAATTTATATGCTCCATGAAGTAGTTCTGTTCATAATTTTTATTTGTTCCAAGTATCACAAAAGGGTAAGAAACTTTTGAGAAAAGGTCCTGAGATATGAAGGAATGTGGCAGAATCCCAGATAATTAGAAAATCAGGGTGAACTCATGTCCTCTGCCTTTGTCATAGTGTCATCTTTATTGCACCACATTGGTAATGGAAAAAGTGTGGTCAGTCTGAACTGATGATACTCTGATTCCCAAACATGCCAAGGACCCAACATCATTTTTCTTATATGGTCATGATGCACCCCCTTCCCATCTCATTCCCTTAGAACTTACTCACCACTGAACAAATAGCATAGCAAATAAACATCTCAAGAGATCTCCCCTTCAAAATTTCAAACAAAGAAATTTTTTAAAAAATGCTGTGCCCTACTGAGAACTATTATCTTTTTTATTTAATTGATTTTATTATTTTAAATACACGACAACAGAATGCCCTTCAATGGATGAATGGATAGAAAAACTGTGGCATATACACAATGGAATTTTACTCATCAATAAAAGAGAATAAAATCGTGTCATTTGCAGGTAAATGGATGGCATTGGAGAAGATAATGCTAAGTTAGAGAACTGTTATCTACACACTAACCATCCTATAAGAAACAAGATGGGCTCCATAAGGAGAGAGCTGTGACAGGAAATGTTTTTAACCCTCTTTTATCCTCCTATCCCAAGTCTCTGCCTCTCCCCACCAGCTTCCACAGAGCCCCCTTCACATCCTTGTTCCTTAGGGTATAGATCAGAGGATTGAGCATAGGGATAATTATAGTATAAAAAAGAGCAACAAACTTTCCTTCACTCTCAGAGTAATTGCCCAAGGGTTGGAGGTATGTGTACATGGCTGAGCCATAAAACAGACAAACCACAAGGAGGTGGGACCCACAGGTCCCAAAAGCCTTTCTGCGCCCTGCCATTGACTTGATCCTCAGCACTGCCTGAGCAATGTGTGCATAGGAGCCTAGAATCAATGCTGCAGGAATAACAATGATTATGACTCGGGCCACAAACATCTTGGCCTCTGTGCCTCCTGTGTCCTCACAAGCCAACTTCTGGAGTACAAGCATCTCACAGAAGAAGTGGTTCAGGTAATGGAGGCCACAGAGAGGCATGGCCATCATGAGGCTTGTCTGAATCAGAGAGTTCATGAGACCTCCCACCCAGGCAGCAATAGCCAGAGACAGGCAGAGAAGGGGGTGCATGATTGTTGTGTAGTAGAGTGGACGACACACAGCAGCATAGCGGTCAAAGGCCATCACCACCAGAAGCACACACTCAGTTCCACCCAGGGAGAGGACAATGAAGAGCTGGGCCACACACCGTCCATAGCTAATGGTCCTGTCAAGTCCAGAAAGATTGATCAGCAGCTGGGGCACAGTGCTGGTGGTATAGCAGAGGTCCAGGAAGGAGAGGTGGCAGAGGAAGAAGTACATGGGTGTGTGCAGTCTAGGGTCCAGTTGGGAGAGAACAATGATGGTGGTGTTGCCAAAGAGGGTCAGAGAGTAGAAAATTGAAATGAAGACAAAAAAGATAAGTTCCAGCTGTGGCCAATCTGAGAAGCCCACCAAAATGAAGCCTTCTTCAAAACTGGTATTGAAACCTCCCATAGCCTTGCACCTGCATAAAAAATGAAAGACAATTCAATGCCTTTACAAAGAACATGAATTAAAACATTTTATCAAGATTAAATCTATTATCACATATAACTAAAAAGAACAAATACAAAATTTAAAAATAAAACATTGAAAAAAGGTATTCACAGTACTCCCTCAGTAATACATTTCTTTATTTTGCTAATCAGTTCAGTTTTATGAAGTCTTCTATTTTACTCTTTCCTTAAATGTGTAAATCACTGGATTGGAAATGATGTCATCTTTGAACCATAGTCCTGCTGCCTGTGTGTTCTGTGATGTTAGCCAGGTCACTCAGACTTACAGATCTGATGCTTCTTTGTCTTGAAGAAGAGATGACATTATCTCTACATTGCATTGAGATTAGGACAAAACATAGTAATTTTAAATTGCTTTTAAATATCTAAGGTGTAAAAGTGCAGCATTATTATTCCCTTTGCTCTTCTCCATGATCTGTTAGGAATCCTATTTCAGGTTTGAGTCAAGGATTAAGCAGACTGAGATCACAAATTTAATCCCACCTGAATGCTAATAAGCTACCTTCTGCTAGAAGAACTTAACCAGTGCATCCATCCTGGAAGCCCAGTTCATGATCAGATACCATCTGTCACATAGACTGAGAAGGGTGTGGATTCATGCCTTGATGGCAAAAAAAAAAAAAAAATGTTCCAAGTGTTGAGTCATCATGCCTGGAATACCCCTCCCCTGACTTCATCAACCAACTAGGTGGGTAGAGGGGGAAGAATAGAAGTTCACTAGATTAGACAAAGGACAATGAAGAGAAGGGGTGAGGGAATCAGAATGAGAAAGACAGTGGCATGAATTTGACATAACTTTCCTATGTACATATGTGAAAGAGCTGTTCTTATTTTTCTAGCCCAGCCCTTTTGTACAGCTCCTTTCTAGCACTTGTCCTCTCACTAAAATTCTTTTTACATATCTTTGTCCTTTCTTGAGCTGTGAACTCCTCATTCATAGAGAATAAGTTCAATATTAAAAATATTAGTTTCTTCCTGTATGATACTCAAGATATGAAAAATTAATGCTTATTATTACACTTAATAGCTGTTAAATAAATTTTGTAATGTGTAGCATTAGACTTTCTAATCTCAAAATTATATTCCTCTAAGAAACCTACATATTAACTAACAACATACCTTAATGAGGTTAGAAAAGGGATAGGCATGAAAAATTACCTTCCATGAAAGGTTGGTCTTTCTTGTGGCAAAGATCCAAAAATGTCATATGAAAATATGTCAGGAAGCAAAGCAGAAAACAGGTGACTAACAAAGCCTGGCTGTGCTCAGTATGAAACATCTTTTCCCTTATTAGCTGATTCTTTTTTCCCTTTATTATTATTAATCAATTAATTTTATAGTAGAATGCATTTTGACATATTGTACACAAATAGAGCACAACTTCTCATTCCTCTGGCTATATGTACATGGTGCAGAACCACTCCAGCAGTGTAATCATACATGTACATAGGGTAATAATGTCTGTCTAATTCTACCCTCCTTCCCATCCCCACAACCCCACCCTTACCCTCACTGCCCTCTTCACCAACCAAATTTCCTTCATTCTTTCCTATTCCCTACTATGGGTTATCATCCACATGGATCAGCTGATTTTAAGTCCTTTGGGTATAAACCAAGGAGTGGGATAAGTGGGTCAAACGATAGATCTATTCCAAGTTTTCTGAGGTATCTCCATACTGCTTTCCAGAATGGTTCCACCAATTTGCAATCCCACCATCAATGTATAAGTGGACCTTTTTCCCCACATCCTTGCCAACACTTATTATTGCTTGTATTCTTGATAATTGCCATTTTGACTTGAGTGAGATGAAATCTTAGATTAGTTTTGATTTACATTTCTGTAATTGCTAGAGGTGATGAAATGTTTTCATATATTTTTGATCAACTGTATTTCTTCTGTGAAGTGTCTGTTCAGTTCCTTAGCCCATTTATTGAGTGGGTTATTTGTTTTTTGGGTGCTAAGTTTTTTGAATTCTTTATATATCCTGGAGATTAGTGCTTTGTCTGAGGTGTGTGTGGTACAGATTTTTTCCCATTCTGTAGGCTCTCTCATCACATTATTGATTGTTACTTTTGCTAAGAAAAAGCTTTTTAGTTTGAATCCATCCTATTTATCGATTTTTGATTTTACTTATTGCACTTTAGGAGTCTTGTTCAGGAAGTCACATCCTAAGCCAACATGATGAAGATTTAGGCCTACTTTTTCTTCTGTTAGGTGCAGGATCTCTGTTATACTAAGTCCTTGATCCACTTTGAGTTGTTTTGTGCAAGGTGAGAGATAGATAGGGGTTTGATTTCATGTTGCTACATATGGATTTCCAGTTTTCCCAGTACCATTTGTTGAATAGATTATCTTTTCTCCAATGTATATTTTTGGTGCCTTTGTCTAGTATGAGAAAACTATATTTATATGGGTTTGTCTATGTTTCTTCTATTTTACACTATTGGTCTACATGTCTACTTTGGTACCAATACCATGCCATTTTTGTTACTATATCTCTGTAGTATACTTTATGATCTGGTATTGTGATGCCTCCTGCTAATTAGCTGATTTTTCTCCATACAAATACTGAACTGAAACATCATCATCAATGGATCTATGTTGGGTCAATGAAAATAATGAATTTGGAGGCTATCTTGCAGTCACAAGGGAAAAGATAAATAAATTGTGAGTTAATACTGAAGTATTAATTCACACATACCTTAATCAATACTCCAGAACTTTTTATTAAATGACCACCTTAGTAGAGAGCAACAGCTCTAGTGTGAATAACTGTTCCTACTGCTCAAGTCTACCACTGACTGACTGTTCCACCTATTCTAAAAAATTCATATCTATGAGTCTTATTCTACTTATCTATGTAACAAATAAATAACTTATTTCATAAGATTTTGATTGGGATTAAATGATATGTATTCTACTCTGATTTTTAGAACTTATATTTATTCATCACATGCAATAGGTTCTGCTTAACTTAGTCACCCTTATATCCCTATTCCAGGGCAGTACCTGGTAAATATGAGAATCATGAAAAATTTGTTGACTAAATTAATGAATGCATTCCTACCCTTAGACAATGCCTTGGGCATATAAATGTCTCCAAAATATTGGTTTCCTTTTGCAATGTGAAAGAGTTAACACACTTTCACTGTTTCTAACTTAGTGACACAAACTATTTAATTGTTACTGCTCTATATGTTTGTGAGTGATTTTTATAATGTCACATGGATATGCTTCATATATTTGAAATTGAACAAAAACTTAGAACTATAATTAGCATGGATAAAGAATAAAACTATAATATAAAAGTATTTCAACATGATAAAATGTGGACATTTAAAATATGATATAAAATATAAATGGCCACTTTAGTAGATAAAAGAATGAGATATCTTTGAACTGGAAGAATTGAATTTAGCTTTAAACTTTACTTGGAGAAATATGGAATGGAGGACCCAAAACTTGCACATATTTCAGTTATTCACAAAAAGTAAAGGACAACCCCAAAGATCAAAATAAATTATATGTATATGTATATAAAATTGTAATTATATATAATTTCAATTATATTGAGTATACTTTGAGTTGTGGCATCACATATTCTAATTTCAATTTTTATTACAAAGCAATCATAACAAACAAACAAAAAACAAATAGCCCTGTAGAACAGAAGATTTGGCCTAGACATAAAGAGCAATATATTTGATTAATTTTTCACCAGGAACACAATGAGGAAAGAATAATCTCTTCCATAAATGGTGCTGGCAGAAATAAATTTCCACATGCAAAAGAATGAAATTGAGCCTATATCATGCAAAGAACAACTCAAAATGAACGATACAAAAATATCTTGCCATTTGCTACCACAAAGATAAAACTGGGAGACACTATGTAAGGGAAATAAGCCAGAAGTAGAAAAACAAAAAATTGCTTGATCTCATTTAGATGTACAATGTAAAAGAAAAATAAATCAAATATACAGAGATACTAAATGAAATGTGGTTTCCAGGATTAGGTGGGAGGATGAAAGGTGAAGATATAGGTCAAAGGATTCAAAATAGAACACATTTAGGATAAAAAAAAAATCTAGAGATCTAAACACAACCTGAAGACAATAGGCAACAATATTGTATTGTATTTGGAATTTATGTTAACAAACTTTAGCTATTCTGCTGTTTTTGCCATAAAAACAAAGAAAAAATGAGAAATTGTGTATAACAATGTATGTTAACTTGCTTCATGATATTAACCATTATCCTACTTAAATGTATTCCATGTCATCATGTTTTATACATTAAATGTTCATGAGAAAAAATTTTGCTATTAAAAATATTTAAAAAGCAGAAGACAAAGATGAGGTAAGAGTTGACTAAATTCTCAATATATAAGTCAACAGGGCCTGTTGGTCAGATTTTCATCACTATGACCAAACTATCTGAAAACAGCTTAGAGGAAGAAAGGTTTCAAAGGTTTCACTCATGGTTGGCTGGCTCCATTGTTCTGGGCCTGAGGTGAACAGATCATCATAAGGGAAGGGTGAGGCAGAAGAAAAGTTGCTTAGCTCATGGCAACTGGGGAGCAGAGACAGAAGAAGGGGCCAGAGATAAGATATTGTCCCTAAGGGCATATCTTCTTTCTTCAACTATGTCCCGTCTGCCTACAGTTTCTACCACGTGCCAGTAGTCCATTTGAATTACTAATCCATCAAGTGGATTAGTCCACAAATGAGATTAGAGCCCTATGATCCAATCATTTCTAAATGGTCCACCACTGTACATTGCTGCACTGCAGACCACAACTTCTGCATGTAAGTTGTGGGGGGAATAATCCAGATCCAAACCACGACAGAGCTTATTAACTTTTGGATTTTACCCCCAAATCTCAAATTTAATAAAACCATAATACAGGAAGGAAATATGCTAGCCATTTCCTCACATCCTTTTACTCCAACCAGTACAGAGTTACCCTGTACCAAATATCAAACCAAGAACTTGATTCATGAAGTCTTGCCTCATTTC